TGTAGAGATTTGTTTTGATTTGCTTTTAAAGTCATTTTTTTGTCTTAATTTTAGCAACAGAAATTCAAAATATTCAAATAGGTGATGGTAATGTTGCTCGTAAAATAGCTATTCCAATTTGGATGCTTTTTCCAAGAACATTCACATGTCCTACTTTATTAACAGTTAATTTTAAAATTGGTATGTCTGCTTCAATATAAAAAGATATTGTCAAAACAAAGAGCTTTTCATATTTTAGAATTTGAAATTAGTATTGTTCTTGTCTTTGAAGATGATCGCATGGTATCTGAGAGTATGTTTTAGTAAATTTTCTTTTTCTTTTCTGATGATTTTTAATAGATTTTCCACTTCGATTAACACGTTATTAAAATAAGATTTTATCAAAATTCAATTTATCTTCGGTATGTGCAATACCGTTCGTGCTTTATGTTTTTTTAAATTGAAATTTCTATTTGATTTTGTCTTTCATTTTTTGTAATGATTTATTAGAAAAATAAAATAAAATGTTCTACTAAGAGCACGCCAAGAACTAGATATTAATTCACAATTGTCATGTATAGTGGTTTTGGTAAAACATGAATTATATGTCTTAGCCAAAGTTGAGCAGAAGATTTTTCGAACGCGAAGTAATCAAACTTGTTGATTGGAAATGTTTTTTTTAGATTTCCATATATTCTACATCGGTAGATGTCATTTGTTTTGAATAATTGTGAAAATAAATGATAGTCGTCAGCCAAAATTAAGCATATTTTATGCAAAAAAGGTCTTCAAATTGAAGAGAATTGTAGAATTTTCGTTCAAACATTGTTACAAAATTCTATGTTCCTATATGATCCATTTTTGTCCGAAACTTCGATGTAAAGTTTCATTGGTTCTCAATTCACTCCATAAAAACAACGAATTCGAAGTGAGAACTCAGTTGTTTTTCGAGATAGGCAAATAGTGTACCAGCAACAACATTGATTAGATCAAATTTTGTTACCGTCTTTCGAAGTTTTCATTATATTGAAAATCGGTAATTGAAATTTAAAGTATATTCGTAACTATCATATTTTAATTTGAACTAGAATCGTTATGACTATACATGAATATAATTGACTTAATTTACTTTCTGAATGACAAAAGTTTTTAAGCTTCGTTAAAAGATCCATAGTGCTAGCTAAGTATATGTTTCTTTTCCATTGATTATTTTATTTTCAAAGACAGTTTAGGACTTGATGGTATCTGATTGATTGTGTATTTTTTCTAGTTTTGTGACTTCAAATCTCTTCATGTTATCGTCAATCTGAAGTTAGATTCAATTCAAAAAGATTCAATCAAATTATGTTCATTGCTCAATCACAATTCATAATCTCCGTTGATTTGACGATGTAGCAGACTTCAATTTCTTAGTTACTTAAGCTTCTGAGTTCTTTTACTAGATAAATGATGAGTTTATCCTTCTAGAGTACTATATATAATAATAGTTGCTCAAAAATTCTGTGTTTCAGATCTCCCTGTGTATTTTGCTAGTGGTGGGAAACAACCTTCACAGAACTGTTTGCTTTGTTCTACCGCAGCTCAAGCAAGACCTCTTTCTGTGCTTTTTCTTTATTCCAAACCTCAGAGAAAAATTCGGAAAGAGTATTAGTACTCTTTCAGTTTCCTTCAATACGCATGAAAGAATCATGTAGAGGGTCATTGGAGAAGTACCATCGTGGAAGTCATGATCAGATTACATACATATGTAATACCTAATAGGTTTATTCGTTTAGATATTTGTGAGCATATAGGATCGTAACTTCTCGATAAGAATGATGCAGTTGTTTTGGTTTCGTCAATGCATTTGAAAGCTGTCGGAATATGTCGATTACTAATTGAGTTTTCAAAATAAAAGCTGCTCCAGTCTCACTTTCGAAGTTATTGTACAGCATTGTTCATACTGTTAATTTGCAATTCTATGCAACCTGCGTGTATCAGAGCACTTTTGTAATCACTATGAAAGCGAATTGCCTATAGCATATGTAAACACGAACCATTATTCTTATGTCTTGCACCGTTAATCACAGTGACAATGACAACAAAAAAAAACATTTTTTACTGATACTCAAAAAACTATGCAACACAAAAAGATTTCCTCGAAGGACGTCTGTAATGTATCTTCTACTGATTCAACGAAACGGATTTGCCTTAAATAGTATCTTAACATCTTAGACGATTTTTCCAACCTGTAGCTTGGACGAAATAAAATTCAATGTCAACAGTCGATAGAGCTTGTCAAACTCTACTTGTAACACATCCTGAGCGACTTATCGCTGGAATTACTCGAATCAGCTGCTAACTTCACCTACGAGATGTACCTGAGGAGACCAGGGCTGGATGTTTAGGCGAAAATAAAGGTTGTCGTATGCTTTTGAAACATACAGATCTATTTACTTTTTTATGCTGAACGCGATTCTGGTGTTGGATTTTTTTTTAATTCTCAGTACTATTGGACGACATATGTCTGAAAGACTACTGATATTTAGTCAAAATCGGCACTTCAATGGTAGTCTGTGCCTTCATGAGGCATCTTTTCCCAACGTTTTCTCACCTCTAGTAAGTGGATTTTGTACATAATGTAAAGAACTTTTATTGATAAAAAGATGGTGGTGTTTACTCTTGCCTTTAAAGAGATCGAAGATTTACACCGAACACATCTAATACTCTGGAGGTAGTGTTTCGAGATTTTTTAGATCCATATTTCGGCTATAAAGTCGAAAGGACTAAAGCAAAAAAACTTGATCTTTAAGGCAGCGTTAGAGATCCATATGATCTACTAGCTGAAATGAAAAAACTTGTTTTTTGTTATTGTGTTCATATAAATAGAGGTACTATTTCAGATTGGTCATGAAACCTATTTAAACTCACCAACTGCGAATACTAACCTTGGTCAAACTTTTTATTCATCCATGAAAATATAGTTGCTCTCGCCACCAAAGATGCTTATCTGAAGGTGATATTTCATTTGATATAAAATAGTCGGAATTCCGGTGAAAAAAGTCCTATGGGCCGATTTACGATGAAATACGCCCTCTCCTTTCATCAGGTTAGAATTAGCTCATCATCATCATCTATCTAATACACAGGATGCAAATTGATTTCATTTTAGCTAGTATATCGTATTTTCTGAGTTTTTTAAACTACAGGTTGGAACATCATTACGACCAATAATGGCATCTATATACTCTCCGGCAACATTGGTTTCAAAATTTTTGAATAATCTTTTTAATAAAAATCCATTTGAAAGTGACTCATGAAATGACAATTATTAATGATGGTGATGTGAACTGAAATCAGAGATGTCTATCGCGGCAGAACATTTGCCGCTGCCGCGCCGCGATGGTACACAAGAAAAAGCTACCGCGCCGCGCTTAGAACGAAGCTATGCTTCCTACAACATTAAAATTTCATGTTTGCCTCATACGATGGAGTCACATTAAATGTACTTGTTATGGAAAGAAGCTCTATTAATCTATCTATCACTGGAATTCCAATTCTAAGCACTGCCAATTTTTTCAGATATGATAAAAGAAGTTTTTCAAAATTTCTATCGCTGCCATCCCACTAACCGCTACTGCGGCAGCGCCGTGGTGGACATCTCTGTCTGAAATATAAAAAAAATGTTTTCAATGGTTATTTGACACTGGTACCAAAATTTATTACAACTAATGTTAAAGATATCTATATGATGATATCCCGACAAGATGTCAGAGAAGAATTAATAAGATTGTTAGAAAAATATTCTAATCAAAGCAATATTGGATATGAACTGCTTTACATGTAGCAATAAATACCATCGACCAATATATAATGGAGTCATGGGTTCAGCATTTACATAAGTCTTAGCCTATACTTATATGTTCGAATGTGAATAAGATTAAATGCAATATCAAACATTACGTAATGAAATTTATGAAGGGTTAGTGAAATATTTTGAAATAAACAGTTTTTTCCATGTGATTTTTTTCCTCTTATTTTGATACATGGATGATATATTCATGGTAGCCAATCAAACTATTGATAGCATTACGCAGTTGAATATACCATTAATACATTAATAAATTTTCTCGCTGTAAGTAATTATTTGAAATGAAAATGGTCAATTCAGAACATCTATTTGTTATAAACCAACCGCTGAATCTTATATTTCAGTTTTATACATCTGATCATTGACGTCATATTCATCGTGATATGCCATATGCAACATTATTATGTGCAGCCTGTATATATTCACATGCCAATGATTTTAATTCAAAACGCATTTTTATTCACATTTCATTATTATTAAACCAGTATTCACCACATATTATTACGGACCATTTCAATCATTTCATTCAATTGAACAAAGCTATGTCTGTTTTTGGAAAAACTAGATGAGCAGGTTTATCAACGATTACACAAAAAATTACTTCATCAATCTACAGAATGTGAAAAAGAACTTCACATGATAATGCAAGATCTGTTTAAAGCCGCTAGCGTCTTAATTAACCAAGACATGGAATCAAAAATTGATGCATCCGTATTATATTTTCGACACTGAACTAACCATTAATTTACCAGAAAACTTCTGAAAACGGTAAAAACCATATTATAAATACTTAGGATCGCGTGTAGATAATGTAAAAAATTTGATTAATACTGAAAACAAACTGTTCAATCGAGCACTTTCCAATTCATCAGAAACATGTACGAGATATGCTAAAAAGAATGCAGCAATCAACAAACTAAGTATTAAATTGATTTTCTTATCTTTCTTATTCAGAAAAATAGATTATTTTTCAAACATTCTCCCTCACATTATTTTCCATATTTTACTACAAAACCGAGTGTTTTTCTGCCTTTATATTATCTTATTCTATCACTTATCTAGCCATTTGTTCTCAATAAAACATTGAAAAATTCCTGCAATTAACTATCGTACATGGAGCACTACAATAGTTTTTTCGTCAGCCCTTAGGATAGATATTCAAAGGCTGATTCTAATGTAGTTTTTCAAAGTACTGTCCTTCAGCATCAATGCATTTTTGCATTCGAATAAACCAGTCTTCGAAACAGTTTTTGACGTCTTCTTTTGTAATACCATCGATGGCTTGTTCTAAAGCAGTTAACATCATGTTGCCGTCGTCGAACTGAATTCCACGTAGTTGATTTTTCAGTTTTGGAAATAAGAAGAAGTTGCAGATGCTTAGATTTGGAGGATTTGGATATGGTTTCACATTATTTTCAGTGAAAAATTCGTTGGTAACCCAAGCCCGATGTGGTCTTGCATTATCATCATGAAAAATGAGGCATCGAAGACCACGCATTTGTCTTCATTCTGATACTGTTTGGAGGACTTGTCGTAGACAAGTGTTGACATACCAGGTTGCATTTAGTGTAGCACCAGTTTCTAATGATACAGACTTGATTAAACCAGATTTCAAAAGAAGATAGCCACCATTATTTTTCCTGAACTTTTGTCTCGATGAACTTTGATTGGATGTGCATCAGTTTTTGACACTCAAACTTTCGACTGCTCTCTTGTTTCTGGATCATAATGATAGAACCAAGATTCATCACCGGTTATAATGTCAAACACACGGCGTGATTGATCTTCTTCAAATCTCTTTAGTGAATGACAACAAAATCGAATGTGCCACTGTTTTTGATCATCAGTTAACTGATGTGACCCCATCGAGCATAAACTTTGCGTAGCTTTAAATAATGATGAATAATTGAATTGATTGCAGTGGCACTAACATCCAAGGTGTTCTCTATTTGTTGATATGTTAAATGAGGATCATTTTCAGTTATTGTTCGTACAGCATCAATTATTTTTTCGTTGACAGATGCTCTAGGACGACCTGGACTGGCAGCATCTTCAACACTAAAATTATTTTGCTGGAATGCATGAAACCAATTGAGGACTGTGTGGTCAGAAGGTGCTTGGTTTCCCCATGCTTGTACCAAGCGGGTATGGCTGTCCTTGTATGTTAAGCCAAATGTCCAGTCATATAAAATCATAGTGCAAAATTGTTCACGTGAGAGTTGAAATTTCATATCGAAAATGATGTGAGGGTGATCCGGAAGAAATGAAAATATACAACGATAGGTAATACACGGAAGTCTGAAATTTTGCAGATAACCCTAAATATCTTTAGACAGTATAATAGAATATAGTCCTCAAATTGCGACTTGTAGAAGAACCACGCGAAAAAACTTTTGTAGTGCCCTATATATAAATAATACTCTGAAGAACACATTTATGTTAATTGAAAGAGAAAGTAAACTATGTATTATTCGCATTTTATTAGGAAATTTAACTGCAAATTCTAAATGTGTTTGTCAAACACTTGCGAAAATATGTCATATAACTGTTTGAATAATTTCTTCCTGAAATTAAAGACACTGCGTGCATGCTAGATAGGCACGTTATGGTCCGGAGGGTCATGTGATAAACATCGATATATGTGACATTTTTATCAACAAGGTATCTGAATTAAAATTTATGATGAAAATAATGTTTTTTTTTGTTTTTGCCTACTATGATCTTTCGAGGGTACCATTAGGTTAGAATATTCCCCAAAGAGTTCGTGCTCTTATTAAGATTTAGCCAAGAAATCTAATTTTTGGTCGATTTTTTCTGTAGGATGTTAGTTTTCGAGTAAAATCATATCTTCGAATTTCAACCTGAAACTTTGTTAACATCAAAGTGTTGCTAAGACTACGTCATGTATAAAATTTCATCATTTTTAGAAGTTGCATCTCTGAGGTACGAATCTTCTAAAACATTCGTGTTTTACATAATATCTATAGAAAAGTACCTTTGTTTTGAAAATTTATATTTCACAGATGCAACTTCTAAAAATGATGAAACTTTATAAATGAGTTAGTCTTACCAAGATCTTCATGTTGACAAAGTTTCAGGTTGACATCCGAAGATATGATTTTGCTCCAAAACTAACCTCCTATCGGAAAAATCCACTAAAAATTTGATATCTCAGGCAAATCTCAATATAGATCACAAACTCTTTGGAGGTTATTCTAATCTCATGGCTCCCTACATATAGGCATAATATGAAAGTAAACTTACCGGGTCACTTGGAAATGTTTCCTCATTAGCTGTTTTTGATAATTTCACTTATCTTCAAACTTGAATTAGGCATCTACTCCACAAATCAGTTGAGATAAGTTGGAAAAAGCTTGACAACAAATCAACTGAAGAAGTGCTCGAATTTTGACCGAAGATACCCTATGTAAATTAAGTATTGCATCTTCTGACAGGAAGCTTATAGTTATTTATTTTTCAGCTGCAATATTTGAAAAAGAAAAACAAATGGCTGATTACTTTTGTTGCGCCCTTTTGTTCACCATCAGATACAACAAAATATAAAATCCTATTTTCGTAGATATGATATGCAGTGATATGGTCCTTGATGAAACTTATGAGACCCTTGGGGTCAACATATTACAGCATTCCGATTCTTGAATACCTCGTAAAACAATCGTCTCGATAAATTCACATAACTTTGTCGTATTTTCATATAATATATTTATTGAGAATGTTGAAACACATAAAAAGGATGATTAAATGTAAAAAATTAAGAGTCTTAAAAGGAAAAAGCATAATATATGTGCCGACAAAACAGAAAGAGAAAAGATTGAACGAAGCAATTAACAGCCGAATACTAGCTAATAATAAAACCTTCACCATGGATTAGTAATTTTATGTAAATTTGCTGTTTCGAACTCAATCTTCATCTTGTAAATATATAACACTTTATGAAACTGCTTCAAACTTAATTAGAGTTTGTGATAAATAAGAATTTTCAAATGATGAAAAGCTCTTACAAGAATACAAACGATAGAAACGCCTTTCAAGATTGATTTGCACTCATATAACATAAAAAGCTTATGAAGATAAGGAGTTTGGTAGAGGTATACGAAGAAATAAAACGAGAGTATGTAATGTTCAAGTCACTTAACCAACTTTTCGTACAGTTTTTCACGATATGGCGTTTACTTAAAATTTGTTCACAGTCGTTGTAAACTCAATAATTAATTTTTAACATAACATTACATCATTTATCTCATATCGTTTGAACAATCAGAGCAAAATTTGCATTCAAATTTAATACTTACTTTCAAGTAAACCATCGCAAGTACTGCATGCTCGACAATTATCCAGGAAT